AGCTCAGATGCAGCGATATAGAAACCAATCAAAAGCAAGTTATATAAATTGACTCTTTTGCAACTTAGACTTTTGCTTTCCACTCCCAATCCTCTTTTGGGTGTGTCCCCTATGGGAGGCATGTTAATGGTGGTTTTGGATGGGCTGAGCATCCCTTTCAGTAAATGATTACTTAAAATACTGCAGTAAGTAAAAAATGCATTCCTACATCCGAAAACTAGAACTATCCACTTTGCCTATGTGAAATCATAAAAATCGTGTCCAAAATATATGGAATAGGACAACTCATTGTCAGATAAAAATGATATTAAAGTTGTATAGTCTACATAGCAGCAATAAAAGTAAAGCAAACCACGTTTTACATTTCACTGGTACAGAGATAACTCTGCAGTCCCTTCACCTGTGCAGCAACTTATGAAACCAAATGATATGTATTCAAGGAAACAGTCTGCTGACAATAAAGATATTGAGTAAGGGCAGATGAAACATTGAATACAAGGACATATGACGGGCAGATCAGATGTGTTCAAAGAAACATTAAACTATCATATGGAATGTGCATCCTCCTGACATGGTCATAAAATATTCGCAAAGTTAGAAGGTTTATCAAAAATGATGTTGACAATCTTGCTTCAAATAAATAGACATATGGTATGTGTATTCGATCATCAAAACATGAACAATGCCGTGTATCCTCGCAGTTTGTGATACCGTTGCTAAAACTTATCATAATCATTCAACTCTTAGTGAAATATCACCATGCCATGAGGAAAGCAGTGCAACATGTTAATGTAGCTCCTACTGCTAAGTGGACACAAGATAAAAACCAAGTAGCATGGACATTTCTATCATTACTTTGTGCCATGCCGGACATGCATGCCGGTTTTTTTAGCAGAGTTTGCCTGGCCAGAGGCTTTACATGTCCCCTTCATGTTGTTATATGTGGCATACAACATGGAGATGATTAATGTCATCCCAGGATTCATATCCTTATGGTGAACGTCATCATAACTGAACTGTACAGGTACAGTAAATTTGCATATATAACCAAATATCTAATATAGAAATCAATCTGAGGCGTTTCAGCCACCTTCTCTTACAATTTGAGTAGAAACGGTATGACACCAAAAAATAATAGGACCCAGAAGCTGGGTCAGGTATCTCTGTGTAACTTCATTTTCTGCCCTCTTTAAGTTTAACCCAATACCTTTTTCTCTTTTCTGGCACATAATAACTAGGATCTCATCTAAAAATGTCAGCATGTCTATGTAATGCACCGATATTTAACCTGAAATGTAATTATTGCATATGAAGATGAAATGGTCTTCTCCTAGTTCTCTTTTCAAAATTTTCTGTGTCTGGTTTATTTCCATGCTTCTATAGAAAAACATTTGGGCTTATATTTTGTTTCTAATACGTTTGTTGTTTCCTAGCTTCACCAAATACCCACATAGAGAAGAATAAGGGCAGTGCTTCTCATCAAATGACAAAGAGATCATGTTATAAGAAGAGTGTACCACACTGTTTCCATCAGCAGTGAACATATGACTCCACACATGAAATTGGACTGAAGAATATTTTGGATAAGGGAATGCTTGTTGCTTAGGATACGTCCAACAAATTCATAAGAAAAAGAGCGAAATGTTTGTAGATCTGATAATATTTGGCTGCATGACAATTCATGTATCAGAAGTTGAACACTAATGACAATAACATGAAGCATATCCAATTAAGCTAGCCAATGAAGTTTTACTATAAGTTGTCAAATTTAGAAACAGAATAGCTGGCTCATTCTTTGTGAAGATCATATCTATTGTAGGTTCAAAATATTTTTTGAAAGAACAAGTTATGATTGGACTATCAGGTCGAGACAACTTCCAAAGAAAAGAAGAGCAAACTATTGAAGGCAGAGGCCTAGCTATGAAGGAGTGTTTACATAATACATAGGATATTAAACAAAAAGGAACTTCCATAATGGGGGTCCAAATAACATCTTATTGTGACTTCATATTTGGCCAGAACAAGAACATATGAAATAGGAAAGATGTAATTTCATATGTTTTGCTAATTCAGATCAATTATTCATATTGATATTGAGATTTAGTAGGATGAGGTTGAAAAAATCAAAGTGGAATAGTACGATTAAAGGTGCCTCTGGGATATAATGCAGAATACAATTGAAACTGACCAAAAAATTGTTATGATTTGTCTAAACAATTATGCCAAACAAAAAGAAGGGGAAAAAACTACTTTTGAACAAGTCCACTAGTGTATGATATTTGAGATTCCTAGAAAGTTGAACACCATCATCAATCATTCTGCCACTTCCCCACCCAAATGGAGTCGATGGTTGCGCTCAAGTAAAAAAATAATAATAATAATGATAGCAAATGACTAAATGTTTCCAACTAAATATGGTGGAACTTAGCACAAACAAGGACAAAGAGACTGTAGAATACTTGAAGATCCACGACAAAAAATCCATCAACTAAATAGAGATATACTACTCTAATTTTTAAGAAAGAGAGAGGAAAGGGGATGATCCTTAACATATCCGAACCTAAATTTGCGACGAGACACACCAATGAAATCTCTCCTTCCACACTGGCTACAACCACAAAGGACAAAATCAAGGGAATACCCCCTTTTTAACTAATCACTCAGCATTGGAATGTGATTCCAAAGGCCTAAAAACAATCCACCTCCGAACACACCAAACATGGCAATTTTTAACAGATCCAACAATAGAAATTGCACATTAATCAAAGCCCAACATTTCTCCACACTTCCATAACCAAATACTCCGAACTCAACGAACGAAACATTAAAAGGAACCCACCAGCGACCTCGATCTACATTCAAACAACAACACTTCTTGATCATAAAGAACGAACTTTCACATCGAAACCCACCAAATTCAAACAAATCAACGGGGACAAAACCCCCACGTGGGACAAATCAAGCGATTAGCGCCGATTACTAACTTCCCCAACGATTCAAACCCCAAAACTAACGTAACCATTTACACAAACAACCGCAAGCAAGTATAATAAACATATTAACATATTCTAGAGAGAGAAAGAGGAGAGAGAGAGGGGGGGTCTCTTACCGCTGCTCTTAGAGAGAGAAAGGGAGCAGTGATGCTAGGGCGTGAAGAGCGAGAGGAGACGAGGAGGAATCGAGCAGGAAAATACGACGAAAACCGAGGAAAATAACGAGAAAAGATGGAATTTTTTGGGGGAGAATCGAAAGCAGCGAGCGAGCGAGCGAGAGAGAGAGAGAAGCGAAAAATATTTTAGAGAGAGAAACGAGAGGGCTTTTAAGGAAGTTTTGGCCAAGATTTATGGTCACAGATGAAATGGACCGGATCACGTGTTTCCTTCAAACGCCAAACACCTTGGGCGACCATATAGTGAGCATGCACGTGTCCTGTTCAAGGTAATTTTTGGATATTTGTCGAATTAGTCCCTTAATTCCTTGAAATTGTTTTTACCTCCCTTATATCTTATTTGGTTATTTCAAGTTAGTCTTTCGGTTGGGTATTTCGTCTAAACTGTCATCTCGAGCCAGATTAATTGTTATTCACACATAGTGACCTACAAGTTTATCTTCAATTAGCAGTCTTCTATCCAAGATTCTAAAAAATTTAAAGAAATAATAATTTTTGGAGGCAAAGTTAATGGGATTAGAAACTCGGATTTAGGATTAGACTTGTCAAATAAAATAGATCTGAGTTTGAGATAACTTGGACATAGGAACATAACTGGAATCTCTATAAAAATTTGAGTTCATTAGAATTTTTCTCTCCTAATCTAACCGCAATAACTAATTTGAAATAATTAATAGGATTCAAGGGATTCAGTTTTAAGTTTAATGATTTAAAATAGTAGCATCTAATATGTAAGATGTGAGGGAGTAATATAAAAAAGAGATTTTCTATAAATAATGAGGTGGACAGATTTGATGTTTGCTGTGTTGTTGTTCGTACCGGTGGATCCGCTATCATGAGGATGTGACCATGGGCCTCGTCGCCGGTTTTCTCATCTACCTCAAGTTACATAAATACCCTTTTTTAGTTGTAAATTTTTATATATAATTAACTTATTAATCTTTTATTTAAATAAGAAGAAGTTATATTAGAGTGTTTATTCACGGCAAAACTTCGTGGTGAGTTGACACTTTCTCTGAAAATTTGTTGACCTTGACCATATTTTAGATTTACTGCAGTCAAATTTTTTTACTGTTGGACAATCTCAGCCGCTCAATCTTTTTGGAATCTTGAAGCAAATATATACGGTTTTATATAAGCCCATGGTGCATAATGAGTAGGTAAATAAACGATACACACAAGGTTCGGTGTAAAATATGAAATTTATAGGAATACTTTCCAGGAAAATTTTCTGCCGATGCATGTATATAATTCTTTTGTGGAGTTAAAGCGTATTTGAGTTACCAAATAGACGATGATACGTAAGATGTAGATACTTTTAGGCTGTTTTTTTGAAATGTGTGTTCTCTTTAAACGTCTCGCATTTGAGCTGGCATTCCGAGTCTTTGAAAGGGGGTTAAGGACAATTTAGACATTTCATTGCACAGCCAGGTTCGAAACGGCTTGCTCACGTTTCGAGGCATTTTGTATGGATATGTGTGTCGTTTTGTGTCTGAAGAGGTTTCTGTGGACTCTGCCTCGAGAGATAATTTCTAGAAGAAGGAAGAGATGGATTAACGGTGACTCATAATAAACATATGTTATTGTTAGGAAAATATTGCTATTTGTGGTAAATAAGAGGATAGTTTTGGTGATTAAAATAGTTACCGTCTGAGGGAAGAGCTTATACGATCCAGTTTGGGTAGCTAAACGAGTGAAAGATGTTCATGAAAGTTTTGACATATTCTCGAAGGATGTGCATTTAAAACTTGAACTTGCATATGATTTTCCCACTCATGGTTAATTCTCAACACGTGCATCTGCGTTATGCACAGCAATATATAATGCGAGGAGGGTGTAGGGGTATTTGTGTAATTTCCTTGAGTTCGATCATTATAATAAAAGGTATATATCCATTTAATACCTTTTCTAAATAACAAATGAACTAGTTTAGAAAACAATAAGCGGAAAGAAAAGTACATCGTTCATAGTT